AACCTGGTGGGGGGGGGGGGGGGTACGCTTGTAATGAACGGTGTGCAGCACTGAAGAGAGCTTGTACAACACGGTGTGAGTAAAGCTTAGCAGGAGTGTTGACAGAAACACTACAATCTCAGAACATCGCACCCCCGGGCCAATTACAGGAGGTGTGAAGGAGCTCACCTTTCTTCATGACAGGAAAAGGAGGAAAATGGAAAAAAGAGTGCGGTTACGCTCTACCCCTCCCCCAAAGTGACGTGCACGACTGTGCAAAGCTCTGCAAAATGTAGAACTAAGGGTTTTTGGCAAATTGTTACATTTTTGGCACCAAAACATTAAAATTTGAGGGGGGATTGACAAAATGCAAAGTTGGCATAAAGATATCGTGGACTAGGAAGCAGCAATACTTCATCCAAAACTCATCATCCAGCTTAATTAACTGTATCTTACAGGTCTTTTGAAGTGGGGTTCTGTGAAAACTTTATGTGCAATTAACATTGTACCTGTTGTAGATAGCTCTTTAAACCACCTCACTTTGGAGGAAATGGGTTTGATTCTGACTGGACTGATGAGCTAATGGCTAACCTGAACATGGCCAAGACTGAAGTGAATTTCTGATGTCATAATGTAACACTGTGTAACGAGCAGTACGCCGATGTCCCACGTTGCTGAGGGATTTGAACGGTGAACGTTTGCCGTTTTCAAGATGAGTGCTTTTCTGGATTGTAACTGAACAGGGAACGCAAGTAAACCTTAATGTTTTTTGTGCAAGATAGTCAAGTGGGTAGGAGTTACATTGTGTATAGGAAGAGAGGAAGGGTTTTTATCCAGCGCAGGGGGGCTGGGTGGGGGGGTTTGGCTTGTCCATGGCGGTGCAGGATTCTGGCAAGTGGACGGAGTAATTTAATCCACCACCAGGTGCTAAATTGTATGGTGGCCCCAATCACTTGAGGAAACTACACTTTTAAGCAAAATTTTCAATTCAGTTTATTTACCATCTTTTTTGGCCTATAGTCACAGTTTTTTGCATAATTTGCATGCCCTACACCAAAGCAACGTATTTATGTTTTTTCCCATATTTATAAACCAATTTTTGGCTGAGATATGACTGTTTTCATTCATTCTGGCTGAAAATATTGAACACTACAATTTTCAGCCACTAGATGGCACTCAAGTAGTATAGCATGCCGTTGTGTCATGTAAAAGGTAAAAGTGACTATTAATGACACAATCAGCTTTCCATAGACTGCCACCTTCGTCCAGCTCTGGGGTCATGCCTGGAGCAACCGTCACATCAGCTTCATTTTGCTGCGCCGCCCCATCAAAATGCAGCTGATTTGACCATTAAAGTGAAATTATCAAGGAAAAGTTCAACTGAAACACACCTTTAATATAATGTCAAGCAAACAAATAATTGTTTTTAAGTGTTAATCTTGTTAAATTCTTGTTAAAGTCCTCCTGTGCACACTCCCGTGGCCACCATTTGGCAGCCAATCGATTTTAGGCACAAAACTGGCACAACATTTCCAGATTGTCAGCAGTGATGCATAATAGAGGCGACTTATACGGCAAAGTGACATATTTATGTTTTTTCCACTTTATTAGACATATTTGGACTGATGCAACTTTTACAGCGGTGTGACCAGTACGGCAGAAAACATGGTATATAACACCAGTTTACAACAGGAAGTTGTCTCAGGACTAAAAACTAGAAAGCATTGTTTCTTCAAATGATCAGGGGGGGCTGGTTTACATTCTTATCTCAGGGTGGCCATCTTGGATTTTGATGTGGCAACCCAACTTTGATAATGACTTTTCTTACGCCAGATGCAGCTGCACACCAAAATGAAAGTTGGCACCTCTTATTTTTCAAGTTATCGGCTCACAAGATGAACAGACAGAGGTTGTTTCCTATTCCTATCCACTCCGTGACAGGGAGACAACATTTCATAGCAGATTCTGTTAACACTGTTTTATAGGCTTTTAGACTGCAGAAAATGTATTTTCAGTTTTTCTTTTTCAATTACTTATTTATTGTCAAATGCAATAAGTGACTGTAGCAGCTAGCTGGAGTACAACCTGTGCACATTATTCTGATGGGAAAACAAACTGAGGTGAAGATAAGATTAATAAAAAAAAACTGATTTAACTATGCCTTTAAGTTGAGATTCTCTCTGTGCCCTCGTCATAATAAAAATAAATAGTGACAAACCTGGGTATACCCATGCTACATTGCAGGTTTCTTAAACAGTGGGCGTCATGAAGAAAATAAAATCATTAAACCACATGACACAAGAGGAAATAATACAGTAAGTACATTCTTCATGCAGAAACACATTAACTCAGTTTGAACTTGATTGAAACTTTGTTTTATTTCTTGTTAAAAATTTGACACAAGTTTTCAACTAAAATGTGCAGAACCTGAAACAAAACCCACCATCACAAGGATATGATGACAAACGTCTGACTTACAGAGAGTCAGCAATGACAAGCAACACCTTGGCATCAGATCTTAATTACTTACTAAAATAATTTAAACAACTCTTTCTAAGCCCATGACCAAAGCTAGCTGTTGGAAGAACCACACTCGATGGCAGGAGAAGATTTGTAACTGGTTTTACTTGCAAGGACTCATTTAAGACAGATTACATGCACAGATAATGCATGGAACACGCCACAGAACGAGCATCGTAGTCTTCTGCAGACTTTTATACAGCAGCAGAGTCCAGCGGGCGTTCCCTCACAGCCAGCTGCAGTCAGACACAGACATGATCCATGGACATCAGCAAGTCGGCCTCCAGCTGGAGATAAGAGAATGTTTGGGCATGTTCTCAGGGCGTCAGCGCCAGTGAGGCTGCGAGTCGACGAGCTGCCTTCAGGCTGGGACAAGAGAATATTTTGTGCATACAGTACAAAAATATATTCTCAGCCATAATATAATAAAAAGATTCATAACATAAATTCCCTAAAACTAGCCAAATGATCATCCTTGGTTTCCAGGACATGCTCAATACTCAATACAAATACTCTTTTTTTTGTTTCTAAAAACCTTTATTGTGTAATTGTTTAAAAAGCTTCACTTTGTGAAGC